CAGCCTAGAGCACCGCCGGCGCCTTGCCTGTCTTGACCCATTGGCTCGTCCTGCCTCCAGCCCTGAGCCCTGGGTCTCTGCCAGTGCTGCCCTCTTCCTAAATGCCCTGCTTTCCATCGCAGCGAGGCCACGCCCTGCCTGCCCGCTAGCTCTTGCTCTAGGGCCACCTCCTCCAGCCAGTGCCAGGGACCGAGTTGTCCACTGAACAACTGATCGCCAGTATCGCAGGTTTGACCCTGTTTGGAGATGGCATCTGTGAGGAGGTAAGTAAGTTAAATTGGCATCATTAGGGCGGGACCCAGTCCAGTCTGACTGGTGTCCTCATACAAAGGAGAAATGTAGACAGTTACAAGGGAAAGACCATGTGAGGACACGGAAAAGACAGCCATCTACAGCCAAGGAGGGACAAAGACACTGCTGACACCGTCACCTCAGCCGTCTGGCCTCCAGAGCTACGAGAGCTGGTGTCATCTCCCAGGCAGGGATCTCACCTTCCCCAGGGCGTGAATGTCTCCCCTACAGCTCTTCCCCTCAAGTCACCCTTGTTTGCAGCAAGACCGGACACTGCTCCCCTCCCCCCCCCCCCCCCACCATGATATTGGGAAGCCAAGGCCAGTGCTCGGAAAGGCTTGTTGAGTGAAATGCCCAAGAGAGCCTCTGGGCCAGCGCACCGTCCACGTGGGCCAGCGCTGTGGCTCGCGTTTGGAGCATGACAGCAGCCAGCCTTGGGTTTACGACCCTGGTTCTGGGCCTTCCCGGGGAGGGGTGCTCTCTGCTCCTCAGTTTGGGGCCGTCCGGTGCAGCCTAGACAGACGAGGAGGCTGAAAGGCGTGTGAGCTAACCGCGCCTGCAGACAGTGCGGGGCGGCCGATCCTCGGCCGGGTCAGCCCTCTCCTCCGAGGGGCAGTGCCCTGACCCGGAGCTGTGTCTCCTCCACCACCTTCTCTTTGCAGGTACTTCCAGGTTTACAGACAGGTCGGTTTTCTAACCGCCCTCGTCACTGTTCTGGACGTAGCTATGCACCACTTCTACTTCCTCATTTATCTCTAAATTGACTCACTGCCCCTGGAGCCATCAGACACCAGGCCCCTTTCCTGCCACCCCAGGCCTGAGCTAGATTGGCGGGGTCTCGGGCTGTGCGCAGGTTATAGGAACCTGGGAGGGGAGATGGCGCTAAGGAGCTCGGCGCCCTCGTCCCTGTGCACCGCCTGAGCTGGGCGTCCTCGAGGGGCAGGTGCGTGTCCTTCATGAGTTCCGAAGGCTGCTGGGAGTGGACAATCGCGTGAGGGGAGATCCTCCAAGCCCAACGACAGCCCACGGTGACCCGGCACAAAGGGACTGGAACTCCTCGGAGGGCCCTGTGCTCAGTGGAGAGCAGGGGTCACCTGGCATCCAAGTTTTCCCAGGAGCAGCTCCAGCTCTAATCGCCATGTGGACCGTGGCCCTTGGCCTCCACGGAAGGACGGGCCCTGGGAAGAGCCTGCCACGCCAGGGCGTGGCCGGGACCCCCACCGCTGGGAGCGCAGAGCTGAGCGGGCAGGCCTACGTGGGCTGGCCCTGCAGGCGGACTGCCCTGTGCCTGCACTGAGCAGCCTCAGGTCTAAGGCCTGTGCCTCAGCCACAGAAGCCTCTTGAGTGAGGCCCCTCACTCCCCGCGAGGCCCGGCAGGGCAGGCAAGACCACTGGAGGGGCTGATAAAGGAGGCAGGAGGGCGGCTTCCTAAGGAGAGAGATGCAAAGGCTGCCTGGAGAGGGTGGCGAAGTCACACTCAGGAGCGCTTACACTCGGAAAATAGTCATTTTAATAAAATAAAGACAATACAGTATTTCCCACTAGTTTTCAGTAAGCAACCCCATTTTTTTTCAGTGCAACAAGCTCTTTGAAAGGCGATCCTATGTGATTGGTGAGCAGGTGTGTCAGGGTCCCGGCTGCCAGCATGCTGTTCACAGGAGCCCCGAGCTCCTACCCGTGTGTAAAAGCCCACGATGGTGCAGGGCAAGGCCGAGGTCCCGGGAGCCGAGGAGAGGGGAGGCGTCCAGGCACAGCTTCATTCCTGCAGCTGCCACGGCTGCTGCGCCCAGGCCGCCGCCATCTCTTCCTTCCTACCCCTCTGCCGACCAGCAGAATATTCTCCCCTTCTCATCGCCTACCAGGAGCTTGGGCTGGTTTCTTGGGAAGAGAAAGAAGAGACAGGAGTGCGAGAGTAAGCTTATCCCAGCCGCAGCCAGGAAATGGCCAGCATGGAGGTTGCAGTCCCGCACCGCGAGCCTGCCCCTGCCTCCGGCTTCCCCAGGTGCTTCCGGTGCTGAGATGCAGCGGGGCCCTGTGGCCTCTGATATGTGGCTATTCTGCATGGGGTCACAGCCCTCCCGGCATTAATAGGATAAACACTGCAATCGGCAGTGGCCTCAGGAAAAGGCCCTCTTTAGGATAAAATCACAAAGCAATTTACTTTCACCTTTTGGATTTCTTTGTGGATTCATGGGTATTCCATGAGAGAGAGCAGGGACATGTATGTGCTAAAATACATTTCCTGGGGCCCCGCATGGCCACCTGACCTGAGTTCTGTGCTCGGTGGGCCCTCCTGGGTCCCACAGTGAGGCTGCCTGAGCCAGGCCCAGACTTTCCCCGGGGTGGCCACAGCGCCCTCTGCTGGAAGCCTGCAGAAGCCAAGCTGTGGTTACCTGGACATGGCCAGAGCAGTCACCGCAGGGCTGGTCTTGCTGGGCTTCCCTGTCAAAGCCACACTGATGTCCAGCTCTCTGCACAGGGCAAGATTCTTCTCGCACCTGTGACCTGTGGGGAGCGTGCGAGAGCCAGTTAGCAAGCCCAAGTGGCTTCACACACATGCACGTGTGCACCCACACGAGGGACACACACACACACACACACACACACACATATTTATATTTGTGGTCAGCAACTTGCTAAATTGAGGGGAAAATATATTTAATCTTGGCCTGTGCTGTTGCAAAAAGGGCCGTCCCAATTTAATTTGCCGGCTGTGACAGTTACATGTGCTGACGTGCCGCGTATCCGTGGTGGACCAAATTGGATTTGTGTATTATTGCTTTCTAAATTGCATGCCTAGTTCAGCAAAATTGTTCATCAGTGTTTACTGGCTTTATGCTTAATAAGATGCCCCACAATACCTTGCTGCCAGGATGTAATGCAGCCCTTAATTGCCTAGTAAAAATAAATTATATAAAGTTGGCTTTATCAACTTATCTAAATCCTCTCACACCACAACCAATAATTAAATGCTGAGAATGTTTTTTCAAAAAATATAACTCAATGATTGTTACTTCGCTCATTTTAATGACCGCATTTGGGGGCAGACAGTAATTCCTTCAGTGCGGAGGCGAGATGGAGAGACCTCAGCTGCGTCTGCCCCTGTGAAGCCACTTGGCTGGCGTCTGGGCGGGAATGAGGCAGCTGCCCGCTGCCCCAGGTGGCTGCTGGGTGTGCAGGCAGCCTGTGCACCAGGACACGCGTGTGCATGTGTGCTGCGGACAAGCCTGAGCAGCCAGCTGCCCCGAGCACTTTTACATTCCAGACTGAGTCCAACTCTCTGAGGGGCTCAACTGGCAGGTCCTGCTGCAACTGACAAGTAAACGGATTCCAGAAGGAAGTTAGAGAACATGCGCACAGGTGCCGTGCCCTCGTGTCTTCAAGGCTCTCCTCCTGCCCCTGTGGCACCTGAGGACACGGGACACGTATGCACACATGCATGCGTCATGCCCAATCCTGGCCTCTTTCTGACAAACAGTTTGGAGCAATATCATGAGCACCCGACCTGCACTGGCTGGGGCTGGTGAGTCTGCACCTGCATCTGCTAGCGCTAAGCGGGGCTCAGCATGGAGGATAAGGCTAGTGCCTGCGCTCATGGCAGAGAAGACGGGCTGGCGGTGGGAACCGTGACTCCCTGGCATTAGCTGTGATGGAGGTTGTCCGGCAGTGGTCACATCTGCCCTGGTGGCAGGAGTGAGAAGGAAGTGGCCATGTGCTTCTGGGTGACTTTGGGTGAATTACTGGACTTCTCTGTGCCTCAGTTTCCTCCTTTCTTGCCGCTGTCATGGAGATGTCTACTGCACAGGGCTGCCACGAGGACTGAGAATGCACAGACCATGTGCCCCGTGAGGCTGCTTGTGTCTGCTCTCCCTCAGGCGTGGCAATGACGCCGTGGTGGCAGCAGGGGGACACATTTTCTACCCCAACTCCAAGAGGCTCTGCTCCGAGCAGCGGTTCTCGTCCTGGGGTGCGTGCCAAGAGCCACCTGAGCACTTGACAGACACGAAATCCTAACAGCCCCAACCTTTTCCTGGGGGCTGGGCTGGGCACAGGACCTGGCTCTGCATTTAATAAACGCCCTGGGCGATGCCAATGCCGATGATCCTCACAGCTGGTTTAAGGAACTCTCGTGGGTAGCTGGGTGGGGTGAACCTGGATGAACAGGGCTGGCTGCAGCCTATGACCTTCCTCTCCCTGGAATACAGCGTGACCCCTCCTTGCTCCTGCCTGGAGCCTGGCTCTCCAGCTGGACCAGGCCCTGGCTGGGGAGTTGGACATTGCGGAGCCATCCAGGTAGCTGGAGAAAGAGTCAAGCACTGCAAGGTGTGGCCCTTCCAGATGCTCAGGAGGCCCCGACAACCCCCCTCCCCTCCCCGTTCACACAGCCAAGCCACACGCCAGAGCTCAGGGTCCCTCCAGGCTGAGGCCAAGGCCGCCACTTGGCAGAGCTTCTCCATGCTGCTGCCCACCCCACAGCCTCCGGCAGGAAACTGTGCTCCTGCCTCCCCAGCATCTCGCAGGTCCGGAGAGACCCAGTGGCTTCCCTGGGCTCCATGACAGCTGCAAGAAAGGAGGACAAGGCTCAGCAGCCAGTTTGTAACCAAGTTACTTAACTAATGCCCTCTCATCCCTGAACAATAGACGTCTCCATGACAGCTGCAAGAAAGGAGGAAACTGAGGCACAGAGAGGTCCAGTAACTCGCCCAGTCACCCAGAAGCGCATGACCACTTCCTTCTCACTCAGCTGCAGCCCTGGGGCTGAGGAGGGGGCAGGAGAGGGGGCGCTGAGCCAGCAAAAGCGCCTTGCTGGCTGCACCCCTGGCGGGGCACTCACCTTTCGGACTGGTGGGCGGAGCCGAGGGCTCCTCCGGTGTCACCTGCCCAGGAACAGACCCCTTCATGTCCTCAGTCTTCCAAATCTGCCGAAAGGAAAAATCGCTATGGGTGGGGGAAGTGGTCCTTCTGCAGGCTCAGGGCCCATCCCATTCCGTCACAGCGGGAAGCGGGGGCCCTCCGGGGAGGGGGAGGCAGGGTGCTTTGTCGCTGCCGATGTTCATGAATTCTTGGGGAAAAGGTTGCATAGGCTCCAGCTTCCCTGTGCAAAGTGTTAGCCAAGCTGCAGTTCGGATGGTTCCCTCTCCACCCCTGTGTGTTCATAGTACATCTCCCTCACCCCTGACCCGCAAGGACAAGGCTCAGCAGCCAGTTTATAACCAAGTAACTTAGCTAATGCCCTCTCATCCCTCTGCCACCCCACCGGGGCCCCCTTCACCACTCAGCAGCTGGGCCTCCATCCTCTGACCCTGGTCCGAGCCATGCTGTCAGTACCCTCAGGCTGACCACACAGGGCTTGCACTTGCTGAGTCTGGATTTCTGTCGCCAAAGGCCGAGGACCAGCCTCCACTTCCATGCTTAGATGCTTCTGTGAGCTCTGGGCTATGCAGGAGCTCAGTTCCCAAGCTGAGCGATGGGCGGCGGGGGGTGGGGGGGGTGTGGATGAAGAAATGCACCTGATGCTCAGCCAGCCCGCTCCTCTGGCCGACCATGTGGACCATGCGCCACCGAGCCCAGACCTGTGGCCTCCTCACCCTGCAGCCAGCTCCGGACACCCTGCTCTCTGCAAAGACCCTGCGCCCCTCAGCACAGATGGGACCTGTAAGGGGACTCCTCAGCCTCATCTTTCCTGTCCGGGCAGCTGGCCCCCACCTGCGTGGCCTCCTCCAGACCCTCTGACTCTCCCTTGTCCTTGGAAATCAGTTGAAACGCCACCTCCTCTGATGGAAATAAATGGACTCTCCTCTCAGAATATCCACCATGTTAGCCGTTCTGCTTCCTGAAGCATCATCTCCATGATGATTCTGAGACTGAGTGTAGAGGCCTCTGAGGGCAAGACTAAAAGAGTGAGCTTTCCTAAATGCTTACAGAATTCAATGGGCATTTTCTTGAATACCTTGTAGTATTCAATTAACATTTCCTTTCATAAAATGTAGAATTGACAGTTTTTTAAATGTGCCTCTTAATTGTTTTTTATCTTTACTCATTCCTTTATCCTTCCTGTCAGTCACAGAAAAATCACCTGTATTTTGTTTATCCCATCCTGTTCTTTCCACCTCAATGTTTCTCTCTCCTTCCCTTCTTGGTTTCTTGATGCTCCCCCTCTCCGCGGCCCCCCTCAGAGGATCCACAGCCCATTTCAATGATCCCAATGATAGCACAAACCACATGAGTATATTTTCTGCTTGTCCCCTCTTCTGGAATATGAGTATCTGAGGACAATGACCTGTTTATCATCACTGTCTGTGTGCCCTATATAAAGTGACTGGCACAGAGCCAGAGTTCAATGACTGTTACATGGATGGTTGGGTGGATGTATGTATGTATGTATGTATGTATGGATGGATAGATGAGTAGTTGGACAAACCATTGGGTAGCTGAATAGATTCATAGATATATGGATGAAAGGGTAGATGGGAGGATAGATATATGGATGGAAAGAAGGAAGGAAGGAAAGAAGGAAGGAAGGAAGGAAGGGAGGAAGGAAGGAAGGAAGGAAGGGAGGAAGGAGAGAGATAAATAGTTGGGTAGATGGGTGGATCTTTTATTGGATGGATGGATAGGTGGGTGGATGAATGGATGGATAGATAGATGGGTAGGTAGAGATATAAATAGTTGGATGGGTAGATGAGTGGGCAAGTGGGTGAATAGATTAATGAATGGTACAAATATCTCTTTTTAGCACTGGGATATGTTCTTATGCATTTGGCCATTCAACTTTCATACTTTGTGATAAATGTTTATTTCATTATGTGAGGGTATGTCTGTATAAATTGTACACACATATTGGAAAGAGCCTTGTCTTTGCCTTGTCTAGGAGGTGGCCCTAGAGCAAGAGCCTTGTCACTTGCTACAGGGACCTGGTCTGGAATGGTCTCATGCAGCCTGCAGGTTCAGACCCTTGGAGGAAGGGAGCAGAATAAAGATGAACACATTCTTGTACCGCGCCCTCCTCCCACCCCAGACACACCTACCCGGACCATGCCGTCGCGACTTCCAGTGATGATGGCGTGGCTTGCGTCCCATGCTGGCCCCTCCACCGTGCAGCAGCAGGTTATGGCTCCTTCTGGGCCCCAGGCTGTGGTGATGCTGGCCAGGGGCTGTCCGTTGACATTCCACAGGGACAGATGGGCTCCAGCACAGGAGACAACGATGCCCTGCACAGGGAGACCTGGCTTCACTCCAAGCGGGGTCACTGCCTGCCCCCCAGCCTCCTGCTCAGCCACTTGCTCAGGCTCTCAGTCTGTGCACCAAGCACTCTCAACCTGCCATCTTCTGAAGACTAAGCAGGTGCTCCCAGACCTCCTGAGACACCCCTTCTTCTCGCTGACTTGGGTCTGCACTGCGTTCTCGCGCAGCTGTGAGGTCCCAGCTTCTTACACCTCTGCTTGCTTGGACACTGCTTCCCCTGCACAAGCTGGGGGCTTGCCCTTTAGACTCCTCACAGCTCTCTCCCTGGCAGTATACTGATGAGAAGGGGTGTACACAGAGCCTGCACCTGGCCGGCCACCCCTGTCCCTAAGAAGTTTTGGACATTACGGGGTAGAGGGCAGAGTACAGAAGCTCAAATGGCTACATGTGGCTCATAAGATTGAACAACGTCCCTCTGGAGGGAATGTCTGAGGAGGAATTTTCCCGCTGCATCTTCTAAATGTTTATATCCAGAGTGTTTGCCCCTCAAGTCCTTGTCTAGTTTTGTGTCCAGTGGATTAGTGGCCACGGTCACAGGGATGAGTACTGCCAGGCCTTTGAACCTTGCATTACCGACAGAAGGGAGGTCAGGAGCTCTGTGTCCTCCCCCACCTCCCGAGCTGGGCTCCCCCATGTCCCTGCCTGAGGCCAGAGACCATGGCTGCCCAGCATTGAGCACTGGGACCAGCAGGTACTTAGTAAACTAGGTTGGCTCCTGGACAAGTTGAGTTCAACAAGTTGTTGTCCTGATATAAGTCTTCTCTGAGGTCTGGGGACATCATTCATTCTAGGCTTTACATTCTTGCAGATCAGAGTTTGGTGCCTTCCTGATACACCCACTCATTCATCTGTTCACCTTCCATTTTTCCATCCACCATCCACTCACTAGTTCACCCAAATATCCAGCCACCCACATACCTATGTATCCATCTAATTATCCCTCTGCCATCCATCTACCCATGCATCCCTCAATCTGCCCATCCATCCATCCATCCATCCATCCATCCATCCATCCACCTCTCTATCCATCATTCTCCATCGATCTACTCATCTATCCACCCTCCATCTGCCCACATAACATTCATTTTGGATTCAAGTCCACCAGGGCACCATTTTCAGCCAAAGTTGGCAGTAGGAAGCCCTTCCATCATCTCCTCTCCTCCCATGCTCCCCTTTCCTGCTGTGCCCCTGCCCGGGAGCCCTGGGGTTTTCTACGAGCTGATGTGGGCCTCAGCATCCTCAGATAAGTCTATGCCCCATGATGGGGATTCTAGCCTGGGAGAAACTCCACACTGAGATTTCTCTCTCTCTCTCTCTCTCTCTCTCTCTCTCTCTCTCTCTTACACACACATTTTCCCCATAGGCAGCCAGCATGGAGAGACAACAGCACTTCCTGCCATGGAGACTAGAGGCACCTGCTGAGTCACCACTGATTTGCAGGCAACAAGCTGAATTAGTAAGTTCAGCAGACTCCTCACCAAAGTCAACCTCTTGCCACACTCCATGGTCCCCCTGCCAGAACAGAGACCTCCCACTGCCCCCGCTATCCCAAGGGAGAAGAGAAGGAAGCACAGAATGAAACCTAGACCCCGTGCTGCACATGCTAATGGCTCCATCCTGTCTGTGTAGAGAATGCTCCGCACATCTGGAGCACTATCAACTTCCGGGTGCTCAGCCCCTGGGTTTCTCGAGGGTACCACCTACCATGCAAACAGCCGGGCTCACAGACATGTCAAGGACACAGATGTTGAGAAAGGGGGCCTCACCGAGATGTCGCTGATGGCCACGGCAGATATGGCCTCCTGGTGGGCAGGCAGGCGGGCCACGTGGGTGAGGTAGTCCAGGTCCCACAGGATGCAGGTGCAGTCCTGGGAGCCGCTCACCAGGATGCTGAAGGTGGCTGATGCTGCCAGGCAGGTGACAGCCTGGGTGTGTCCGTACAAGGCCTGGGATAAGAGACCAGACCACAGGTTAGGGGCGGGACCAGCAATCCAGCTGCCTGAGATGCTCTACCCTTCCTTTTACTGTCTGGCCCCACATGAGGGAACAGAGGTGGAGTGATTCAGTGATTCCAGAGCCTGCGGGGTATGTGAGTGTGTGGGTGTGTGTGAATGTGTGTGAGTGTGAAAGTGTGTGTGTGAACGTGTGTGAATATATTAGTGTGTGTGGCTATGTGTGTGTATGAGAGTGTGTGAGGGTGACAGTGTGTGTGGCTATGTGCATGTATGAGAGCATGTGACGGTGAGAGTGTGCGTGTGTGTCTGATTATGTGAGTATATGTGAGTGTGTGTGTGTGTGTCTGAGTATGTGTGTGTATGTGAGAATGTATGAGTGTGAGTGAGGGTGTGTGTAACTATGTGTGTGAATATCAGAGTATGTGTGTATGAGTACATTTGAGTGTGTATGTTATGTGTGTGACTCTAAGAGTGTGTGTATGAGTGTGTATGTATGTGTGTGCCTGTGTGCGTATGTATGTATGTGTGTGCCTGTGTGTGTGTGTGAAGGTGTGTATGAGTGTGTGTATGTGTGTATGTGACTGTGTGGGTGAGACTGTGTGTGTGTGGGGGGGGGAGGCACCTGCCTGTGTGTGAGTGTGTGTGAGTGTGCGTGCACACATGGCTGCCCTCAGTTCCGTCCGTCCCCGGGTTGAGGCGCAGCTGGGAGGAGCAGTGTCCCTTTATCATAACCCAGCAGAGGCGGCAGCACCTGTGCTCTTGTCCCCTGTATGTGTCTCAAGGGCTCTGTCTACGTGCACCCCAGCCGGCAGCATACACATCGTTGGCAGCTGGTTGCACGAGCAGACCCTCGGCCCCTGTCCCAGACTACGACTTAGAAACGCCATGGAGCCCACCCCAGGTCTTCACAAACCCTCCAGGGAGCTTTCACGCACACAAGTTTGGGCACCACACTGAGGGACCCCAGAAACACAGCGACCCTGAAGAAAGCAGGGAGCTTAGGTCATAGTTAACAGGGGTGACTTTTCAAGTCCGATGGAGCCAGGCTCAGAGCCAGTGGGCCATGTGGCGGTGGGTGACTCCGACCTGGTCTCAGCCCCTCAGGTTGGCCTGTGCAGGGTCAGGCCTGGTTCGTGGATGGTTATGTGTCCAGATCTGGCCAGAGGGCTTGTTCTCTAGAGACACGTGCCAGGAGCTGGGAAGTGCTACTGGCACGGGCGTGGTCACAACCACCAGAGGCTCAGGTGGGTGATGTGAAGCTGCTGCACACGCACGTGCCTCTCTCCTCCGGAATCAGATGAGGAGGTGGCAGTCTGAGATGTGGTCACTGCTTCCCTGGTGGTAAACCTCCATCTTCAGAACAGACCATGCTCATTTGGGTCAAAGCTGTCACCTGCCTGGTCACAGCAATGAAAAGTTCTGCCTCAGATTTCCGTGTCCTCAGTGGAACCTAACGTGACCCCACCGGGTGGTGCTGGAAGATTCTGGGCGTGGCCCACGGAGGATCTGGGTCGTCAGGGAACACAGAAACTGTCTGAATGGAGGAAAGTGGGGGGTTTGGTGTGAGCTTTCTGGCTTCTTCCCAGGGTGAGCTAAGTCTGATGACTCAGTTCTGACCACAGGGGACACAGTGACTTTAAAGAGTGACCAGTGGCCGGAGTGAGGCTGGGGTTCTGAGAGAGAAGCCTGAGCCCACACGTGCGGGTTAGTGGGGCCGCGCTGCTGCTGTCTGGGGAGAGCACACACAGGCACCTGACCCACAAAGGCAGCAGCACCGGCCCCTGGAGAGGCCTGGGAAACCAGAGAGGGCGGCAGCTTCATTGTGTCCTGGACCCGTTCCTTTGCTCCTCAGACTTACACCTCTCTCCACCGTCAGTTAAAATGCCTCATTATGTCATCTTGTACCGAAGTGAAGTCGCAAACATTAAATAAATGAAGGGCCTCTGGAAATGCTTCTTCATGCTGGGTGCTGTGGTGAGCCCGGGCCCTCCTAGCTAAGCGTGGAGGCACCGCAACGCAATGGGACTGCCACCGAGCAGGGTGTCACTGCTCCAGTTCCGCGTCTGAAAACGCATCTCAAGGAAACAATTCATCAGAAGCGATCAGCCACCTGCGGAGGAAGCGCCTGCCGCCTGTTCAATCCGTTCACGCTTGGAAACAGTGGCTGATGGGACTGGGGGTGGGTGCCATGGACCAACTGAAATGTAATCCCATGGAAATGAAATCTTGGGGAACAAATGAAATGTGAATTATAGAGACTGTAGGAAAGCAAAACCAATCTGATAGGCTGGGTGGACGCGGACTAAACACATCCACATAATGGTCAGGATGGCATGGATGTGTGCCTGGGTGGACGCAGGCAACA